CCCTCAGGTTAACATCACTGTTGTGCGTTCCAGGGGATCCTATGGCAAAGTGCGTCTTTGCTTTCAGATAATAAATGGGACTGCAGAGGAGGGAATTGATTTCACTCCCACAGTAAGGGAATTGTTGTTTGAACCACATGAGGAGAGTAAAATGATTTTGATTGAAATTTATGATGATGACTTTCCTGAAGGTCCTGAAGACTTTTCAGTGATGATTACCAAAGTGGAATTCCAAGGGAGGTAAAGATAAAATTCCCAGTTGATAGATTACAAGCAGAAGAACAAACTATATTTGGAATCTGACCTACCTGCATAAAGTCACCACTAGATAACAGCTGGCTTACTGAAAAATTTCATAAGACATCTATAATAGTAATCATAAAAGAAATTGGATGTATTGGAAACCCAATTCTTTTAACATTAGTATAAAGATTTTGCTGATTAAGATTTGTCAAAGCTGAAAGTCCATACATTACATAAAAGTTGTCAAGTTTCATGAAATTCAAGAAGGAAGATAAAATGAGAAGAAAAAATGAAAGATACTATTTCTGTGAATAAACTATTTTTGTGTACCTAATAGTTTGAAAAAGTGTGAGCAAAAGGTCTTTAGTGATAACTATCAGAAAATAAAATTGACAATTTGTCATACCTGCATCTTAGTAATTTCACAAGAATTTTTAATATAATTTTCTTTTTTATGTTCTTGCAAGTGGATTTGATTTTACTGTAAAAGAAAATAGTCTGCAAATGGATCAACCTCCAATAATAGGAAATATCTCCATGGTACGAATCACTATAGCAAAAAGTGATAATGCAGAAGGCATCATAGAATTTGATCCACAATATATCCTTCTGCAGGGTAAGTTTACCTTAAGTTTTCACTGTGGTTTATAAGATAAGTCTGTGGCTATGGCATAAATTTTCAAATAAAATAACTTTTCCTCAATTGTTCTTGTAGTGGAGGAGGATGCTGGATTAATCATGATTCCTGTTGTGAGAAAGCGTGGAACTTACGGCTATGTAACAGCTGATTTTCTTTCTCGAAGTATTTCTGCACTTCCCAATGGTGTTGACTATGTCATCCACAACACTTCTGTCATTTTTTATCATGGCCAGAACCAGACTTTTATTTATATCTCTATTACAGATGATGAAGAAAGGTAATTAATTTTTCAGATATTTCTTCACTAATTTACTTCTGATAAGTCCTTTTTTTTAGCATGTGCACTATGCCTATGTGTAGAATTGGAATTGAAAAACGAATTTCTGCAGTGCTGAAAAGTCACCTAAATTTAAAGCGGGAAAAACCAAGCTATTACTAGAGTTCCATAGTTCCTGTAAAATTTTACGCAAACATTACTTTTTTTAAAATTTGACTCTCAGAATTTTTTTGTGTTAATAATACTGCTGTGAACAATACAATATTTTGACACATTTTTTTTTTTTAGTTTAACACCAGTAGAAAATAGAACATAATTTTATTTCAGATATCACAATTCTATGCAAAGGGAAAGAATCTTCTACTGTGTGCTTACAGAGAGGACTTCTCTATACCTTTAAACAGATGGAGTTGGATGCGTGATTGAATTACTAAGTATAGTTTTAATTATTACTTTTCTTGGATATCTCAGAATCTTTTTTCTTTTTCCATGCAGTGAATTTGCAGAGCAATTTGAAATCCAGCTGACAGGAGCCACTGGTGGAGCAGTCCTTGGGCTCCACCTAGTGAGCCAGGTTACTATTGCTAAAAGTGACTCCCCTCAGGGCATCGTCCGATTTCTCAACCAAAGTCAAATTATTCTTCCCAATCCCGATACACCCACGGCAGTGTCCCTGGTGCTGGAAAGGACTGGAAGATTGTTAGGGGAGACACAGGTGGGCACTGGCTGTCAAACACTGAATGCTTTCCAGTGACTAGGTCAAAAAGCTCCTGCACTTTCTTTCAAGAGCTTCTAACAGGATAATTGCAGCTTTTTTATCAGACTGGAATTGCATGCAGTTGCAGTATAACAGAAAATGTTGTTACCCTTTTAATCTTCTCTTTCTCCTCCTGCTTTCTTACTGTTTTTATGCTCTTGTGTACTTTGTTTTGAGCTAGCTCCTAATTCCTTTGAAAATAGGGTTAATTTCATGCACCACCAGTAATTTAAATAATTCAGTTGAATTACTTCCTAAAGCTGGTCAAATTTTTTTCATTAAATTCTTTACTGAGAGCTTTGTAGAATTCTTTGTTTATACAGACCACTGTCACTGAGAATGTATAAATATTAACCCAGGTAGGTCTTTAAAAGTCTTGGCAAGTGACTGGAAGATTGGCAGTGAAGGTGATCAGCTCTTCCTCCCCACATGTAAAATTGCCTTGGTCTTCTCTGACTTTTTCTAGAAGTCATTTAAGAAAACTGGAAAACAATTAAAATGGCTAAAATAATATTTTAAAGTGCTGAATATGACCTCCTTAAAAGCAATCTAATTTGTGGGATATTTTGAATATGTTCTGAATTTTAATCAGATTGAAGAAGTATGAATCATCATTTGAGGGACTAAAACCTTTTACCTCAGACTCTTAAGAAAATATTTGTCATTTTCTGTCTTGATATCACACTTCGCAGGGAATGGTTTTGGTCATGAGTACTCCTCTGGGGAGCTTCACAAAGCAAATGATGATAAGGAGAGAAATAGAAACTGGCCTGTGTGTTTCCTCTTATGTGCTAAAGAAATCTCAGATTCTCTTCTTTTCTATTACTAATATCTAGAATTTGATAAACTCGCATTGTGGTTAACCGACACTTTGAAGTTTTTGTATGCACTTTGTCATGTTTGTTTTTCTAAAGGATTAAATTTTTTCCCACATAGAATTAATTATTAATATTTTGTATTCTGTATCACTGGCAAAGATTTAAACATAGCTAGTTACCAGATAGAAGAATTTTTATGTCAGTTTTGATACTTATCATTCCTCCCCTTGCGAGGCTGTTATAATCTATCAGCGCTCTAAATCTGAAACTAATATCTTCCACAGATTAGTTGGGCTGTCTTGGGACCCAATTCAGAAGAGGTTTTAGCTCCCCTGAATAGTGACATTGATGACCCTGTGAATGGATCATTCTATTTTGGAGAAGGAGAAGGAGGTCTGAGAGCTATTAATCTACAAATCTATCCTCATGAAGAAGCTGAAGTTCAGGAGATCTTCATTATTAGACTGAGCCTTGTGAAAGGTGAAACAGAAATAGATCCTAATGCAAACAGTGTCATGCTAATAGTAAGTCATTATTTCTTTTATTTCTTCTGAGATCTCTGTTGATATTGGTATTTGTCACACAAAGCTTTTAAAAGTTAATGATTGTTACATAGTTTGTCATTTGGCTTTTTCGTCCCTTGTACTACTTAGGTGCATTGTTACAGCTTCACTTCTTAAAAGAGAAGGCAAAGAATCTGTCAGTAAAAAATGGTATATAAGCCCTGACCTGGCCCTCTTATTTGCAGATTTCTGTGGTTTTCTTTGGAGAGAGCATCCTCATTACTAAATGTCAGTTTGTTCATCCCTTATGGACCTCTTCTGCTCCAGCTAATATGTAAAAGTAAAAGAAATGAATCTGGCTGTATTTCTATTGCAGAGCAATAGAAATGCAGAAATTTGTGGGACAAGGCAGAGGGAGTTGACAAAGACAAATTATTGCTCTAGGGATACTGCAACTAAGGAAATATTGATAAAGTTGTTATAAAAAGCCCTCAAAAAAAAAAAAAAAAAGAAACTGGATTTTTTTTCCTGGTCTGTAGCCTGTTGATGAAATTAGCTCCTATTTCCACAGATTCTTCTATTTCTCCTTCAGGGAGACAGGTTTATTCCTTGAACTGGAGTCTTCCACCCTCCATGACAATGACTTGGCTGCTTGGTAGGCAATGGTGTTACAACTCAGTTGCAAGTCAGGTCACCATGAGTTCTTGTTGCAGTTAGTGATTCACGCAAATGGATGTGGATGAGCTCTATCCCAGAGGGCTGAGTTTGCAAACTCATAGAGTTAGAAGAGTTTCTGTATGCTATCCCAAGGTTCCTGAGCATTTCCTGCTTTAATAGCAGAATATTCAGCTAGAGCATTTGAAATAAAGCTGTGTCCTTTTCTTCCTTGGATAGTGCTGAAAATCTGAAAAGGGAATAGTGACACTTTCTCTGCTGTCTCATAGTACCTTGTATCAATGGGACATGTTTTACAAATCCTTTCAGAATTAATTTGCTCTCTGAAATGTGTTTGAACTATTTACAATTTCCAAGTTGTTTACAGCTGAGTGAGGCTCAACTCAGTGGACAGATTAATTGTCATGAATTTGTTTATGTACAATGCTTTTATTAATCCAAGCTTGAAAACTTTCTGTATCTACTGGCAACATCATATTTTGACTCCTGTTCAATTTAGATACTGCTTAAACTTATGTATCATTATAGGATTTTCTGACCAAAGAGCAAGTTACTCATAGATTCATTTACCAGTCTTGCTTTGTGTGCATGTGTGTGCGTGCACGTGGGCTTGGTATAATTCCCTTGATGATCCTGTCTGCACAGTTGTTTTTGTTGTGTTTTTTTTTTTTTTCTCTTAATCTCTGTTCTAACTACTAATGTACTGTTAAATCTTCTTAAGAGGACAAAACTCAGTTGGAAGATCTAATATATATGTGCCCTGTAGCATCTAGCAATGAAAATCTCAGTGATTTGAACAAGAAGACAACTCACTCTACATATCCGATTTTCTGTTTGTTTGTTTACTTTGCAGATAGAAAAGTTTGGTGATCCCAATGGAATTGTACAGTTTGCTCCTGAATCATTAACTGAGACTAACTATACAGAACCCTCAGCAAGGGAAGGGCCACAAAATATTACACTGTTTGTCAGACGAATTCAGGGCACTCTGGGAAACATAACGGTATTCTCAGTCTTTTCCTAACAGACTATAATCTGAAATCATCCTCAGTAAAAATGTGTGGAGGAATATTTTTTTTCTGTGCCTTTCAATTGCTTGTTTCTTTTTGAAATGTTGCTTTTTAGACTGAATTTAGCAAGAGTTCAGCCCTATTACTTGTGGTTTGGAGAGACAGATTCTGTCTCCTCCGGTCAGGAAAAAAAGAAAACAGTACTGCAGTGCTTCTCTCTCCTTCTCTCTTCCTTGCCCTGTGTGCTTTGGATGGAAGAACAGAACAGTTCATACTTACATAGTGAGCTTTTTTTTGAGATCATCACAATTTGCTTTTTTCCAGGCATACTTCAAGGTAAAAATCAGACTATTTTAAACCACCACTCATTTTTTTTTTTTTACATGAAGTTGTTTAGAAGTCAGCATTTTAACAGTTTTTCATTCAATTAAAACAAAATCAATTAATAAAGCATCTGCTGTGTTTAATGAGAACTTTTCAACCCCTTCTGATGTGAGGAATCTTGAAAAGAGGAAAAAAAGCAAGTGTCTTGGTTTAAAAGTAGATTTTTTTTTAAAAATGGTTCAGAAATTCCATATAGTTTTCATAAAGCTTCTGAAGATACAGGACAGAAATCTTTACATTCATAGTACTGTTAGAGTAACAACACACCCTCCTTCTGTAAGACAGTCTGTGTGCCTCTTTCTATGCATACCTAAGACAATTTCTGTTTTACCTACTTAAAACCAATCTCTTCCATATCCTATCTGTACTGAATCCTGAATATCTGTGTGTATCCTGACTCTGTATTTTTGCTTTCTTTTGTTTTATGCATTTTCTAAACTCATACTAGGTTTACTGGCAAATACGTAGTGAATCTGACATCACAGGTGACTTTCTCAGGACAGAGGGATCTGTTGTCATTGCCGACCAGCAGAGTACAGCTGAGATAATTATCTACCTCTTACCTGATGATGTTCCAGAACTGGACGAAAACTACGTGGTGCAGCTGATTTCAGTAGAAGGTGGAGCAGATTTAGACCAAGAGAAAAGAATTTCAAAGTTCAATGTTTTTGCAAATGATGGTCCCTATGGAGTGTTTGCCCTGTACTCCGACCAGCAGTCAGTATTAGTAGAGAGAAACCTGGAACGATATGTTCAGATTAATGTAACTCGGCATGCTGGGGCCTTTGGAGAAGTGATTGTTGAGTACCAGATCATGTCTCATCATGAAGAAGTACTGATTGAACCTGAGGATGAGGTGGGATACCTCACAGTAAAAGACGGTGCCAGCTTTGGAGTGAAAAGGGTGCCAATAAGCAACCAGGTCTGTATTATCCTTTTAGCTCTTATGATATCTGTTGCTTCCATTTGTGTTCATCACAATGCACATGTGCTGGAATAAGATACTAAACTCTTAAATAGTATCCGCTGTGAAAAAGTATCCCCAGAAAAGAGAATTTTAGTATTATGAATTTCCTATTTGTGTGATAGAAATGGGTTTAAATACCACATTTTCAGATAATAATTGCAAAATCACTGCTATGCATGTTTTCAAATATTCAGTTTTTCCTTACATCATTACTTTTTATTGCTATCAGTTCAATATTTTATTATTTTATGTATGCAAATATTTTCTTAATTTTCCCTTTTGGCTTGTAAATGGTGATCTGTTAGGGCTGACTCATGAAGCAGCAAATAAATTTACCTTCAGTTCTCTGTGTTCCCTGGTTGTTTGTTTTTATTACTACAGTCTTATATCCACACTTACATCCTTTTTGCATCCATCTAACATCTTTTCAATCCTGAAGATTAAAATCAAATGGAGCTCCACTGTGTTAGATACAGTTTATTGGAACTACAATGGTTGCTCTACAAACTCACATTCCAACAAACTGCTAGTAAATCACATCCACAATATTGATATTTTAGCTGTATTTCTTCTGAGAAACGTAATCAACAAAACACTTGTCTTGAAAACACTGCTTTTTGTACGCAAGTAGAACAAAATCTGCAGATTGTTCTGCTACTTAATTCTTTGAATGGTGGATATAATGTTTTTTAGTAGAATTAAATTTCTAACTCTTTATTAAATTTCTCTCTCTCAAAGGCATGTCTTTTGCTGGGCTTGAATTTTACTCTGGAACTGACTAATGTAAGCCTGGTTGGAGGAAGTGCCAAAGATGTGCCTAAAATATTAGCAAAAGCGAAGTCAGCTGTTCTCCCTATTCCGGAGGAAGCTGCCAATTCACAGGTCAGTAGACTGGCTACAGTGTAACATTTATACCATGGAAGGTACCCTTCATTGCAAAAGACAGCTGCTATAAGAACTCAGTTAGCTCCTTAAAGTTTTCGTCATTGAAGACAATTTAATGACTGACAAGACTTTTCCAGTTATGACTTGTGCTTTATATTATCTTTTGTCTAACGCAAATTCTTATAGTGATGTGTTCATACAGTTCAAAAATGTCTCTTCATCTATAAGATGTAAATACTGTAAATATTATGGTTAATTTATTATTTTGTTTACATGAAATGGAAGTTCTGAGACTTAAAGGGAAATAACTTAATTCTGGACAATGTTATTCCTTTAAGTATAGAAGCCCCAAAGTAGATAACAGCATGTATGCAGTAGTATTTGCAAAAAGAGATGGGGGTCATGCTAGTTTTTAATGTAGTTGACAGTTTATTTAGCTAGTCACTGAGTGAGAAACTTTTCATTTGTCTGCTTGGTATGAGAGTGGGAAAAGAGAATTTTCCTGTTCTGGTATAGTATATGTGCTACTGTTCCCTTTTTGTATGTCAGGCAAAGACAGTAGAATACTGAGTTTTTATCTTCTAAATTTTAATGAAGTTTTTATTTAATAATTTTAATTGTCTTGAAGCACTGTTCTATCTTTTAATCTGTAATTGATCTTAATTCAAATGGTCTTTCTGTAAACACTGTTTACTACCATATCTCCATTTATCATTGTTTTTAGCTTGTCTGAATTATCCTTTCAGTCCCATTTGCTGCTCAGAGAAAAAGAAAAGATCATACTAGCATGAATAATTTTGTGAACAATGTAATGTGACAACAACTTACTTTACTGTTTCCTTTCCCCTGAGATCTAGTTCTCAGAAATCTAAGATTTAGAAGTAATTGTTGAAGAGTTGTGAGGGAAGTATGTAAATATATACACATATGCATATATATTTACATAAATACATCTAGATGCATGCATAATTATTGTGAAATGCCTATTTTACAAAATGGAGTATGCTTTCACATATGTTATTGCCCATTTTTATTCCTTTTTCTATAACAAAATCTACTGTGTTTCCACAGGTTGGCTTTGAATCTGTGGTTTTACGACTTACAGACATTGTAGCAGGGACAGGTCAGGCTGTTGTAACCAGAAAAGGAGTTTATGGCTCTGTAACAGTTAGCTGGATTTCAGGATACTCACCAGACCTAAAAACTGACTTTGCTCAGCCAGGCAATCTTACTCCTCCGTTTGGTAAGTACTTGTCTGAGGACACAGCTATGAAAGGTGTGTTAAGTGGTGATACCACCTTTTAGTTATTTGCTCCTCTACGTGCTTCCTCTAATAATGAAGAGTCATTGGGATGAAAGAGTATGGTCTAACTTTTTCTGTCAGGGAAGTCTATTTTATGAGCAAAATGCAGAACTAAGTCTCATATGTGTATAGCACAATGCAATGCCCCTGACCGCCAGCTGTATCTAGGAAAGACCCTTATCATACAGATTTCTTCTTCCTAAATGGAGTGGAATTGTGATCGAAGTCCGTGTCTGAGCATGCTCCCAGGTAAAAAGATTCCCATTTAGTGATTTTGACTTAGGCTCACTCTCTCTTTTCCTTCAGGTACTGTTGTATTTTCTTCTGGTGAGCAGAGTAAAGTAATTTCATTTCAGGTTACGCCAAGCCTAAATAAACCTGAGTCATTTGCCATCACTTTGACAGCAGTGCACAGCAATGTGTCTGGTGGGGCTCGCCTGAGGTAAGAATATTACTGATACTTTTGAGTCACACAGATGCTGTAAGAATTATGACCTGTGTACACGCATGCGCCTTATACAAATCCCTATTAAATTACAGGAAGTTGTAGTGCCTTCTTTGAAAAAAATTGTATGTCTTGTCTCAGGTGGAAACAAGTGTCTGATCAGAGCTGATCAGAACTGAGGCTTTTCTCCTATTCCAGTCTGCTTCATATCACTGGGATTCAGGGTGCCTAGAATGTGTCTACAATGATGGAGACAGTTAAGAAAATTAAGAACCAAGATCAACAGTTTTAGCCAGGAAGCTGAAGAATGAAACCAACTCTGAGAGTTTTCATTAGTGTCCCTAGAAATCCATATTTAGAAGAACTTAGATAACAAACATTATTTAAAATAAATAAAATTAAACAAGAAATGCTCTGAAAATACCTAATTTGTATAAAAACTTCTTTTTATTCTTAAAATCAAAACCATAACATTTAATGTAGTTTTCCTTCTCAGCGAAGTTGTTATCTATTCTTCACACCGTTTTCTTTTCATTCCTCCGTACTCACTGATAGCTAAAAGTGGTATAAATACCCTGTGTACAAGAATGACCTTTCCTAGAAAAATTAAAACTACATCCCACAGGAGGTAAAGCTGACAATTACTTTGAACAGTTTTTGGCTCCTTTAGTGGTGGAAAGGGTCTAGTTTGTGAACCAAAATGGCTCACTGTAATTGTAGTGCCATTTGGTAGTCTCTAGCACTGAATAATGGGTCAGTTCTAGAGATAAGTGTAAGACACAAGATTTAGCAGAGTCTTGTTCTCTATGCTTATTTTCTAAAAAGAAGGGGGTACATTTAATATGAACACAGTGTAACTAAAATTGATATTGATAATAGGGCTCAGATCTGGAAAAAATTACTATGAGTAATGTTGTAAGGGGGCAGTTAATATTTCAAAGCCCTGCTGTAAGTTTTAAAATAACTTCCCTTTCTTCTCTAGTTTCCTGTCTAAATCTGTAGATCTGCTAGCATCTGTCTACTCCACAGTTTTTCCTTGCTACAGGAAGTTTGTTCAATAGTTAAAGCTGGTAGTACTCAGAGTGGCTGTATTGTAATATATCTCCCTTCATTGTGTCCACAATAGAAGGACATCACACTTTCTTCTGCCTCTCTGTTTTCTCAGGAAGACCTTGTTTTATTTATTGTTTACTCTGTATCCTGTGCTGACTCAGGATGCATTAAGCCTGTGGGGGGCTGTTTGGTCCAATCGGTGCAAAAACATGTTTTGCAGGGAGCCTCTTTATATCATGCTTTGTATGGTTGCTATTTGTTCTGTCTACTGTTATGTATTTTTTTAATTCACTTTCTTACAGTCATCATTGATTTTTCACTGGAAATTATTCTGCTTTGGTGTTTTACTTTTCATACTTTGTATTTCCTCTCTCAACTTTGGTATCTTTTCTTTTTCAGATCAGGATTTACAGTAACTGAAATTGAGCCAATGGGGATTTTCCAGTTTGCTCTTAACTCAAGATCTGTTTCAGTTGAAGAAGATGTTCAGGCAGTCACACTACATGTCCAAAGATTGTTTGGTTTTCAAAGTAATTTCACTAAACTGACATATCAGACCATTCCAGGAAGTGCCAAACCACTAGAGGACTTCATACCCATCTATAACGGAGAGCTGATTTTTTCACGTTTTCAGACGAATGCTGTGATAGAAATATCAATAATTGATGACACCATGTCTGAAATGGAGGAATTTTTTTTTGTAAATTTGACTGCTGTGGAAATTTTGGATCTTCAACCTGTGAATCTTGCCTGGAGTCCATGTTTGAATCCAACTTTCAGTGTTGCAACAGTTAATATCCTGGCTAATGATATTCTTCATGGAATACTAAGTTTGGGGCCAGAGGTTATTTATGTTGAAGAAGATGCAAACAGCAGTACCCCCAACACAGTGGTACTTCATATCAGAAGGACCAAGGGTTTTACTGGTGATGTTGGAGTAACCGTTAAAACTTTTGGGGGATTGAATGCACAGAGTGGAGTAGATTCATATCCTTTTGGAAATGTTTATGGAAAATCAAACTTCATATGGGCAATGGAGGGAGAAGATTTTGAGGAGCAGTCAGTCTCTCTGACTCTGCTGGATGGAGAAAGGGAAAGCAAGGTGTCCATAAAAATTTTTGATGATGATGAGCCTGAAGGACGGGAATTCTTTTATGTTTTCCTCTCAAATCCTGAATGTGGAGCTCAGATTGTGGAAGGAAAGGATGAATATGGATTTGCTGCTTTTGCAACAGTAATTATTGCAGGTAATTTTTTTTCCCTCAGGAAATTAATAAATACATCTGAATTAAATAACAGTAAATAGCTGTATGTTCTCATAGCAATTTTCGTGTAAAGACTGGAATTCTATTTGGTAATAGGCAGGGTATTCTATTCCTAAATCTTGAGTTTTCCAGATTAGAGAAAGCATCTAATGCACCAAGCGTACCATGCATCCATTAACAACCTAGCTCAGAATACATTTGTAGATGTTGCTTATCTCTGTTCTTCTGTTGTTTTATTTCATGAAGGGAAAAGTCTAAGCTGGAGTGGATTTCTTGCAGACGTAGTAGCGTTGCAGGCCTAGTGTTGCAAGCCTAGCATTGCAGGCTTTTTTTGTTTTTCTTTGCCATTTTGCCACTTTTGCACCTCGTGAGGTTTGTATGAAGTATAAAAAACAGTTTCAGTTTTTGTTTTTTGAAACTATGCAGTTTGTATCTGCAGTGTAGTCATCCTCTGCTTCTGAGGATGGAGAATAGGAATTGGCTTACATAGACATCAGGGAACAATTTTTCTTTCAGTCGCTACACAGAGCTGTGAGAAACTGATGTCAGAGCTCCAGTTTACCGTAGCTTTTAGATATCTATCAGACTTTTTAATTGAACATAAACCAAGTTTAACCAGAATATAGATTAGGTTTTAGAAGCAATATGGAAATTGGAACAGCTTAGGCTAATCAAGAAAATTATATGTAAGGTCCAACATTTACTGGAAGTTTTTTTATTTAGATAGTCTTAATAAAACAAAGTAGGTATTGCGAACATGGATTAAACTGTGCTGTTGGATGAGTGTATGCAACAACAAAAATTATGTATGCAAGAACAGATTGTGTAAAACACGTGATCCTTTCATGTGCACCATCTCTAGAATTCACCATGCAGGTAACCAGTTGCCTTTATGTGCCAATTAACCGAAGAAGGATGTGCATAGGCACAGGCTGGAGTTTGAACTTGTACTGAATCCCACAGAAGTGTATTAACATGCTCTAGAGTTACACCCAGAGCACAATGAGTACATAAAGTAAGGTCAGGAAACAATTTACATTAAGGAGAAGGGTCAAAACATGTATCTACATTTAATTGTATAGATGGAAAGATACCACAGATTAAATATATGTGCATAAGCAAACACACAGTATCTGTTAAATTGAGTATATATATTGACATTTAATATGCACTCTGTTGGAACTAGATTGCCTTCCCAAATGCAGAATATGGTAAAGGAGAAATATGTCAGAAGCAAGATTTAATGGAACACTCTGAAGGCATTAGTTTCCCCTCATTAGGCCTGCTGGATTTTTTTCCTCTACTGCTGTTTTGCTGAAGTTATTGACATTCCCGTGATAACAATGCAGTATTTTGCAGCTCCCTAGTTCCACACGCTGAGTTAAAGATGCAGAAGAAAAGCTGATGTAACAATGTGGGAAAATGAATGGATTCAACAACGTTATGCGTGGGATGAATAAGGAAGCTGTCCTTGGAAGCTCATCTTTATCCCATAACCTTACTATGTCCATCTAGGGGCATGCTGAGACCCATTTCTGTTTAGAAAGAGTATGTTTTAAGGGTTATGGTACACATAAAATAATATAGCTGAAGTGGTATCTCCTAAGGGCATTATAAGCAAGGTTTTTGATAGTGTAACACCTAGTCTCTTGAAGTCAAGGGACACAGAATTCAGTTTGCTAAATGCTGCTGAAAATACAAGCCTATGAGTATAGATAGTGTGAGGAATCTCATAAGGAATTTACTTTCAAAAATACTTATTCTACTGGTTAAAATAAAATTTAGAAATTTGAAGTGCCAGATAAGCATGAAGTGTAAATTAAAAACAGAAACATTAAAAGAAATTTTCCTGAGGTGTCCCCAAGTGGTACTTTGCAGTATGCTTTTGGTACCTAGTTTTTGGGTGTTTTTTTAGCTGTTATCCAGATTAAAATTATGATTTAGTCTCAGCTTAACTTTCTTGCTAATTACTTTCATGAACTGTTTCCTGTCTAGGAAGTGATCTCCCGAATGGCATTTTGGGATTTGTTCAAGAAGTACAAAGCGGTCTCATACTTGATGAAGACTCAGAAAATAGAGAGGTGCTGCTGATTGTCACAAGGCAACCAAACAGGTGCAGGAAACCACTGATTCAAGTGCCTTTCCTACAGGCTGTAATATGCTGTGTTGAATCCCAGAAGCTGCTGTTAGTGGAAGAGGTTATCATAGAGTTTTATAATAAATCTTTGCCTTTCAGCTCCTGTAATAACTTCCCAGAATTTGGCAAACAGGCTTGTAAACTGTGAATATGATTGGGTCTGTCACTGTACTGTTATAAAGCAGAAATAGAAAAAAACAAATATTTTCCAGTTTATACTGTAAGGCAGCAAAGTCTGAAAGTTCAGCTTAGGGTAAGGTATTTGTACTGCTAAAGGTGTAATTCAAATTCTCATCTCCCTGTGTAATGTAGGTATGAATGCTAAAATGCGGAATTAAGAAGATACCTGACAGTACTATGCTTATGTCTTTACTCACACAGATATTATATTTTTTCTCTTTAGCATCTATATATGTTACACACTTGTGTGTACTTTAAACAAATACACTCAAGTACTCTAAGTTCCTTAAATTTAGAGGAAAGACAAATTCTGCCTGGATTTCCAGGCAGATGGTTACTATAGGATTAACGAAAGTACTTGGGTAATCCCTGTCTTCCAAGCACCAGTGTCTCTTACTCAGCTTTATTTATGTTTTCATTTTTTAATTTTATTCATTTATGTATTTGTTTGTTTGTTTGTTTGTTTGTTTATGTTTTCAGAAACAAAAATTGAGAACAACCTGGCTGCCCATGATTACTTTATTTTCTTCCTGTGTTACCTTTTGGTAATCTAAACAGATTTTAGAGGAAGGAATTTAAATAAAAATAAAGACTTTTTCATCTTGAAGCAGTTTGTTCCCTTGTGATAAGTTTTGAATGATAACATTAAATATATCTTACCTCTGTGTTTATGTTTCCTGAAGCAATAGTGCTCTCCTTCAGTACACATATACTCCTTTGATTCGCTTATAGGGCTTTTGAAGATGTGAAGATCTTTTGGCGTGTAACCTTTAATAAAACAGCTGTTGTCCTTCTGAAAGATGGCATGAACTTGGAGAACGAACTTGTATCTGTGCTGGGAGACACTACCTGCATGGCAGGTCAAACCATGTGCAACATCTCCATTGAAATAAAACCTGATAATGTAAGTAATTATTGCTCATTTGTGTACAGCGCTATGATGTTGAATTGCAATTTATCAAGATGAAGAAAACCCCTCTGATTCAGAGGAACTGATGTGTAGGACACAGTTTGAAGATGGTAACTTGACATCTGCTCAGTTCCTCTGCAAACACATTTATTTGCGGGCTTGTACAACTTTCATTGTGACTGGGAAAAATTCAGGAAGGAGATAAGTATTTAGTTCAAAGAGTGAATTCCAGATCTCAGATTTTTATAGAACAATAAGAAAAAAATAATGGAATTATTCCAGTGAGATATGTATTCATATACTGGACTGTTATCTGTCATCTGTCGCAAATTTTTCATCTATCAAAGCGCCTCTTTGGGTGGTATATAGAAAGCATATACTGTAAGTAATAACACCTCATTCAACAAAAAACTTTTATTGCAACTTGTGCATAATTTACATGCCTAAAACTAGCACAGTAATCTCTGAAAACTCTACTCGGTCATAAACCTGCATAAGAATCTCTGAGTGTCTAAAAATCTGTCGCTGTGCACATCCAGCTTGTGAGCAGTGGGGTTCAATTTATCACCATTTGGCATTTGTCAGTTGGGTTTGCTGAAGCCTAAGTGCCTTGAGAGGCCCAGCTGGCACTCAAAAATGCAGACGTCATTGAATTAACACAAAGTACTGCATTCAGTCATTTTTCACTGAAAATAGAAGGAAAAAATACTTTTGTGTGAACATGTAGTGGTTCAAGCAGTTTCTTAGGAAAGGAAATTCTTTCAGAGTGGAGCGTTTGAAACTTTCCAAGAAACTGTTGTAACAGCCAGGCTAGTGGCAAAGCTAAGGTTTGGGGAGTGGACAAGGAAAAGATGGGAAGGTTTCCAAGGTTTTTATGACTACGTTCTAGAAAATAATGCAAGATGTAGGATGTGGGAAGTAGTGATTTCCCACTAGAGGACATTGTAGATTCTCTTAGTTCAGTAAGAGGGTCTTTTCCTTCTTCGTCTTCAGATTTAAATCACAGAGCCAATGAATAAAACATACATATGAGTGGGGCACAGGCTGCCTCACTGAGTAAACTGGGATTTTGAACCTGATTAGTCCCAAGGAATAATATCATTATTTAATGACAGCAGCACAGCAGCTGCACAGATATGCTGTTGTACCACATGAAGCACAAGCATGTGCCACTCTAACAGCTGCTAATGGAAGGCTAAAGGTCCCGGTGACACTCCAGTAAATGTGAACCTATCATCAATTAGTCAAAATAATTCAATTTAAAGAATTACTTAACAACAGCTCAATTAAAAAAATATGCTATTTAACCCCACAAATATTTCCTAATTCTTCCTCCAGTTCTTCTTTCATATGATAACTTTTAAATTATTAACAAACACATTATGAAATGATGAAATAATAAATTCATTCAATAAATATTTTACGTGTTTAATGGCATATGGTGTGACGTGTTCTAGCTTTTTTAAGTTTTTGCTTAGTCAGCTGTACTGACTTCATTAGCTAAAACCTGAATCCTGCTTTTGTAGAATTAAAGTAGGATTTCAAAAAATCCAGAGCTGAAACAAAAAGCTACATTTATTAATAAAAAAAAGTCCTCAGTGGTCTTTTTTTTTTTTTTTTTTTTTTGTGGTGCTGTTGTATTGTAAAGAGCTACTTTATTTCGATAGTTTGCTGCTTCATGAGTGCATGCAATAGGCCCAGATGACACATTTCCAGTTATTTCTGGAATCTGAGTAATCAGATGTCTATTTCTGAACATTTATGTCTGTATTGTAGGTACAAAATAAAAGATATGGCAATGTGTCATATTGAACTTTAATATTGCTACCTGATTTTTAATAAACAGGCATTAAGTTTGCAGAATTGACTAGACTAATTCTTTGATATATAAGCACTAAAATTCAATAGCCTGTATTTCCAGACTGGCACAAGATTTCTGCATATCATTCACCTCACAAAAGTCTACCAGTATAGTGTATCCATATAGTATCTCCAGGCTTTGAGATTTTGGATAAATTCAGTTAAGCATTCAAATCTAGTGAGATTTGCCTGTAAAAATATGCATAAACATGTTAGTGTATAAACACTAAGGCTGTATGTAAAATGCTTTTCAGAACTTTACCAGAATTTAATACTTGAACACAGCCAATACTAATTCAGATTAAAAACTGCATACCTAGACTTCTGTGCAGTTTTTTCCACAGGTAAGTAGGTGTGTACATGCCTTTTTGTAAGGCAAAAATAATGTGAAAGAGCAAATTCCTCACACAAAGCACAGTATAAATAATCCATTAAGGAATGTATACATTTTTTTAAAGCTGGAAGTAATTAGTAGGTCTTATAATGGTATGAAAATCATCCCTCATTTGCAGGTACCTGAATTTGAAACATGTTTTTTTGTTGAGCTGTATGCTGTAAGCACAGGAGCTGCATTGAACAGCAGTGCCAGATTTGCTGTTATAACAGTCCTTGAAAGTGATGCTCCTCGTGGTTTAGTATATTTTGCTGTGGGATCTCGTTTTGCTGTGGCTCATAAGAAGATAACTTCAATCAGTCTGCAAGTGCTTAGAGATTCTAGTGCATCAGTAACCACAATGGTTAGTTACAGAATGCAGGTAAGACTTCTATTTTTTTTTAATTATTTAACTAATTTTTAAATCATTGTTCTTTCTCTAAAGTAAATATGATTGTAATTAACATTTTTTCAGGAAACTGTCAAACATTTGGTGGGCCCATATGGTCTAACTTATTTGATTTTCCATTAGTAAAAAGCCCTTGTTTTCATTGCGTTGTAAAGAGTTATTTTGTTCGTAGTACCTTCCAATGGCCTCAAAGACTACAGTCAGTCAGGCGTTGAATAAATTTCTTTCTTTGTCCTAAGGTTCTTATGAGATTCCAGTTTGTGGTGCTTCTTTCTCTGAAATAAGTTTTTATCATGATGGGTATGACTATCAAGGTTCAGAAACTTGCTATTTTATGTCACTGATTTATTAATACACAGAGCACACTTAGGAAAAGTGGAAGAGTACTTTCATCAAATTTTCTTCCATGTTCTTGAAGTACCAACTTGAAAATTGTTCTTCTAGTAGGAAATCTGATGTGCTTAAGTCAATTTTACCATCCTCGTTCATTTTTGTTATGTTTACAGCTGTAACACCAGGCTCTTCTAACTGTTGACCCTTTTATCTCTAAAGGAGTACCTCATTATTATTAACAGATGATGAAGATTCTCCTTTAGCAGAACTAACACAGCTGCAGAAAAATGATTCCTTCCACTTCCTTATAGTTATGACTCCAGCATCAGGGCACAGGCTGCAAGAGGGATTCCTCTAAGTTTGCCATTGTACTGAAACAGAGCTTAGCGTGATCTGCTTTGGATATCTGGGATTTTATACCTAAAGGTGTTATTTCAGGGAGGGTTATTATAATAAAGCATTGTGTCACCAGTTTATTTCCATCACCCTTATAATAAAAGGTTTTGCATTGTATGGTTATATTGCATGCATTTATATATATATTAACTGCATAGGATTGCATGGTGTTTCCTTGCATTTATTATACAGTAGCTGGCCAGTGTTTTAGTTAAATTGTGTGCTAACAAATTTTCACATTCTTTCCAGCCAAGAGTTCCTTATCATTCAGCTGTTAAATGAAGAAAATGCTGCTGTCTAGTGTGTACTGAGGCTAAAATACAGGGGGCAGTTCCTTATCTGTTTGTATTTTTATATAACAACCCTTCTTTGGATTTTTTTAGGTTTTGAGGGTGCATGGCCAAGTACCAAAGAATTGGTAATATTGGTACCTGTAAAATAAGAGGTCATGGCAGACAGGAAATGTGAGGCACTAACTGGAAACAGATGTTACACTTATTCCTACAAAGGTTTCTTAAACATTGTTCTTGTCTCTAGTGCTTTTATTACCACTTATTTCCCGGTTTCCTAATTCTCATTTGAAAGAGATAAAAAAACCGAAACTCCTCACTGGAATTTGTGCAGTTGATATGCTCATGTTCTAGAGCAATTTTGGACAGATACACACTGCATTGATTTACCTAGTTCTCCCATGAATAAGTAAACTCTACTAATTAAAGCTAAATGTTTTCAAAAGGGGTCTAGTATTCCACAAATAAAAATCCTTGTTTTTTACAGTAGGAGACCTTTAAGAGTCAGTATACAATCTGTGCTTACCAAATGAATAGAGACTACTGAAAAATGATACATTTGAATAATAGCCCCAGAATGTTAGTTTCCACTTAAGGAAAGTTAATTATATTACCAGATATAATATCAAGGTTATGGTAACTGACAAAAAGAGCAAGAGTGTGAAGAATGAAGCAGTATCTGCAAACCTCATGGAAGGTAAAAATAGTGCTGCTTCGCAGGGAAATGAGGCCATATATAATTCCTAGATAAGTTCATCTGTGCCTTGCGTGTGTGTTCTGTAGTGTTTGCTTTGCCTTTGGACCTAAATGGATTGCTCTTCTTTTGAGTATTTATACTGGGACTGAAAATATCATGAATTGATATTAGCTTGGGCACAGATTTCCGAAACTTTTGCTTTGCTTTGCTTTTGTTTGGTTTGTATGTACCTGTAATTATGTTTTGTACCCTGAACTGAAGGACTTCGTGCTGCAGACATAAACTTACGTTAGCCCCTCCAGAACTCACCTTACAGATGTGCTAACATTTCTGTAATACCTGTTCACCCAGAAAAGCTTTGTGATTTTTTTTTTTTTCTGGCAAAGAAAGAGAGGGATCCTTTTTACTATTGACAATATATGTAATTCTTCCCCTAGGTTGTTGCTGACTACAAGGGACATTGCTATTTCTGGGAGCTATTTCATGTAATGTAACTGTTATATCATACTTAACTGCATTTTGAAAGAAGACTTCTTTCTTACAGGTTTAAATTTTACCTGTTTAAAATGTGTGTGTTCTACAGCAGCTAGTTTTGAACAACTGTATCTTATGATAGCGTTACCTAAAACTCTTTTGTTTTGTTTTAAGGAGCTACAAAAACCTGAACCTATGGGTCGGATCTTTATGTCTCCAGCTGTGGCAGGACAAGATTTTGCCAGATCTGAAGGTTTATTGACTTTTGAACCTGGACAGAGAAATATGTTTCTGGATGTGACCCTCACTCCAAAGACAGGATCTTTAAACCCATTTCCTAAAGGTTTCCAGGTTGTACTTTCCAATCCCACGGGCGGTGCCAGAGTGGATGACGTGTATGGTATCGCTAACGTCACCATTGTCTCAGATTTGGACTCCTTGCCAGTTTGGGGGCTGATTGATCAACTGTATCAGCCTCCTGATGACACCATTTTACACAGAGTCCTCCAGAATCTGAATGTCAAAGTGGCTACAGAGACTACAGAAGAGCAGCTTACTGCTGTGATGTATATAATTGATAAGGTAAACCTTTTCTGCTCTTTCTTGAATGACCAAGGACTTAAATCAGAGCATAATAACATGCAGGCCTGTGATAAGATCAAGGTTAGCATCCACAGCAGTGACTCAGGGGCACAGACTGCAAAGTTAAAAATAGAAGTTGTGAAGTCCCACAATCAAATAAGAAGCTTGCCTGTCATTAGGATAGTGGCCGGAAATAGAAAATCTAGTGGGTTGAAAAGAGCAACCAGTATTAATTTTGCATATGTACCTATAGGTCAAGAGTTTCTGCTATGCAAAATTTTCCCTTTGGTGTCATACTCTCACAGAGCTTATTGTGGTTTCTTGATTCTCAGGCCACATCTTTGTTGGTTTTATCCCTGGCACAAGACAGTGAGGCCCAAGGTTTGCTTATATCTTGACAGATGACTGCAGTCAACACATAAGCAAATTCTGCCAGGGCCATGCTCTTAACCAGGCATGCAGCTTGTCTTTTTTTTCCTTCAGTAGCTTTGGGAATCGATTTGGCACTTCAGCATTGCACTAAGTTCCATCAAAACCCTGGGACTAGTGTTGTGGCTTTCTGGCTCTTCTGGACTTGTGGAATAGGGCACAGGAGCTGGAAAATGTTTAAATACCTCGACACAAAGCAGTAGAACAATGTTAATGAACAGCAGTTCATTTGTGATTGATGCCATTTTGACACAAGAAACGGAGAAAATAATGGCAAAAATTCTCAGGACTCAACAGTCTTTTATTTGTGAAAGAATGAAAAATGCCACCTCATTTCTTTAATAATCAAATCCATATTAGTAAGCATATCTTACTAATGTAGTTTTGACATAGTATTGCCTCTCGTGCTTTGGCAACAGTGATCAGAAGGTGGAAAAAATATTCTGAACTTTCAGAATGAGCATTGGGATAAAAATACAAGTCTTACTAAACTGTTCAACATGAGAAAATGTATAAGCAGACTTCTGTGCATAAAAAGTTTTATTTCTTCTCCTCTCATTAGGTAACAGATGTAGGTGAAAAACAGTTACTCACTGAAAAAAGTAGAAGTCTTTTCTATGAGATACTCTGTGCTCTGGCTAGCCCAAAACGCGAGGACACGCGAGGATATAGCCTGCTTGCTGAGGTGACTGAGAAATTTGCTTTTTCCCTGTTGACTGGGATAATGTGTGGATCACCAGGAGAACGGTTAGTAAACTTGAATTCAAAATATGTTTTGGAAATATGTGACAACTAGCCGTTATAGTCAAAAATTAAATGATATTTTTAGAAAAGGGACTTGTCTATCATATAACATGTTACCTATATGAAAATGTGTTGCACTGTGTCAGAATTTTACAAAGCACTGTATTGGCACTATTAGGTGGTGTCACAAATTACTGGTACACTGATATGGGGCAGCTGTGGTAGTAGGAGTCAGGAGATCTGGAATATATTGATTCACCTTTAGCTCAAATGTTGCCTGGAAAAGTATTCATTATTCTGACTAAGAAAATAATTTGTAATTGTATGATGCAGAGCTATGTTCTAAGACTTAGATGAGACTAAGTAACCCAAATTTTCTACTGGCATTTTGTAATTTCTGTGTGCTTGGTTTTGCTCACTTGAACGTTATTTTAAAAATTTTAGAGCTACTTGTATTTTTCACATGTAGTTTCAAATTGCTAGTTTTGTCTGCAGATGTTTGATTCTGTTTTGGTTCCATCTCATAGTGAGCAAAACCCACAGGGGAAATGGAGAAGCTGAAATGCCCCTCTTTTTTTTCACAGAAGCTGAGACCATCTGTCAATTAAATGTCATAAAGCCTAAAAATTATGGAGGAATAAAGTATTAAAAATACATTTTAGAGTAATTCTGTGAAGAATAGTGAAGCTCACTTCCACTTACCAGACCTGTTGCTTTTCCATTTCAACAGAGGTAAAAATATCTTTGACAGCTGCCCGTACATTGCAATAATGGCTCACAACTGGTTTCCTCAGCAAATCAATGGACACAGGTTTGATGGAAGAGATGGGGATTCTATTCAAGTGCCTGAACATTTACTAGAGGTTTCTGTTGTACTACCACCTCCTCGAGAAGATAACTGTGAATCTGTACAGTTCACAGAATACAGCAGTCAGCAGTGGTTCCTTACTGGAGACAAAGAACTTGCCCTGAGAAACAAGGTTTGAAGATAATGCAATTTATTTTTTCAATAAATTAGTTTAATTCAGATATTGCTCAAAACATCTTAAATGTATTTTAAGTAATGTGAACTTTTTTGTGTGTGTCTCATTAAAATGAGCACTGATGGTTGAATTTTAATATTAAATTTGTATTTATGTTGCACATGTTGTTTCAGGTTTTTTCTATGAGTTTAAAGGGTCAGAGTTCACACCCCTTGAAAGATAACAATGAAGTAATTTATCGGATTTATGCTACAGGAAGTCGGATTGTTCCACAGAAGTCTCTATGTCTCCTCTGGAATCAGGCTGCTGAAAGGTTATTTTATTAATCTGTTTAGTTTTCCAGTTTCTACCATGAACCTTTGTATTTGCCTAAGATGTGATAACTCTGATTAGGCCATTTACAAGAATAAAATTGATCTATTTCCTAGCTATCTTTTTTCCTTAATTTTTCTGGCCTTTGTAGCAGCACATAACTTTCCATATAATAAAGTGCATACTTATTCTAGCTCAGACATTTCCCAGGCTTCCACTCTTTGTCTTTTTTCTCTAAAATACCATTTAGATTATGTAGTGATGTGTTAGGCAATGCTGACAGGCCATAAATCCCAGAGTTCCATCACTTCATTAATATTAATAGAATCACAGAATATTTTGGGTTGGAAGGGACCTTACAGATCATTGAATTCCAATCCCCGTGCCGTGGGTGGGGACACCTTCCACTAGCCCAGGTTGCTCAAAGCCTCATCCAGCCTGGCCTTGAACACCTCTGGGGTTTCTGCGTATGCTCTTCAATCCTCCATTACTGGATCAGCCTGTGTCTTTCCTGTTCACACAGTATAAATTGATTTGGAGAGCCAGGCTCTTCTCTGTGACATCTAGTGATAGGACAAGGGGCAATGGGTTCAAGCTGGAACATAGGAGGTTCCGCTTGAGTATGAGGAAAAACTTCTTTACAGTGAGGGTGACAGAGCACTGGAACAGGCTGCCCAGAGAGGTTGTGGAGTCTCCTTCTCTGGAGACATTCAAAGCCCGCCTGGATGCGTTCCTGTGTGATCTGATCTAGGTGTCCTGCTCCGGCAGGGGGATTGGACTAGATGATCTTTCGAGGTCCCTTCCAATCTCTAACATTCTGTGATTCTGTGATTCTGTGATTCTGTGAGAATTATGTTCTCTATCCTGCTGCGATCTAGTTGGTTTAGGTATGATTTCATTAAACTGACTGGATTATATCAGTCTGTCACTGGTAGAAACTACTTCTCTTTGGACAGGAGATACAGCAGAATTTACCTGTATTCTTTCATTTTATCTAGACACTATATCACAGAGCAGGCGTTATTTCCGATAGAAATAACTTAGGATATCACCTGTAGTATCCTTTTTCAAAACCAGTTCAGCAATACTGAAAGAAGACAAAACATGAATTTTAGTTTCAAAACAAGTAGCAGTACGAAATGAAGTGTTCACTATAATGGGGTATTGTGCAAGTTAAGTAATAAACTAGTTAAAAAGTCAGACAGTCCTGTAAATCTTACAGAAAAATAAGGCAACAAAAATTCTCTAGTGGAAAAAAATGGTCCTTATCATATATTTATAATTTTTAAATCATAAAATTAAAAAAAGCTATAAATATGTTTAATTTAGTGTAAATTTGCTATTCTGAGTACTGTGCCTGAACAAAACACCTATGCCATAGTTTAGAAAACTTGGTATTTCAGAGATTCAATAGCAATTTTCAAGCCTGCTTACCATGTAAATTACCCAAGTCCATTTCTAACTTTGTGAATCTTTTGTTTTGCAGCTGGCTGTCTGATAACGGGTTCTGCAAAGTGGTTGATGACACGTCAGACTACGTAGAATGCTCTTGTTCTCATATGTCCATTTATGCAGTTTATGCCCAAACAGATAACTTGTCTTCATACAATGAGGCTTTCTTCTCTTCTGGATTCATCTGCATTTCAGGTCAGTTGATTTAAGACAGTTTTCCAATCAACAAAAACTCATGTCCAGTAAGACTAATTGATTTTTGGTTATTTTAGTAGCTGATGACAATCTTTTTTTTTGGAGGGGTATTGGAGGAATGTTAAGTAGCTTCATGGTATTAAAGTTTCCAAATAGTCTGGTATTTGCACACTGACAAATTTTGCCACTGAAAAAAAAGAAGTCGAGCAAAGAAATATGTTTTCTTGTGATATTTTATTGAACCATACAAAAGACAAATATGTCATTCATTTGGAGGATGAAACTTAAAAATCCTAAATTCACCTGTATCTCTAGCAGCAGTACAGTTTTCTCTGTGTCAAATCTTTCAAATACTTATCTACCTATCATAAAAGCTCTTTGACTGTTTCAGTTGACAATTTACACTCAGAAGAGATAACCTGAGAGAGGTAGATTCCATGTCATGCATATCATGTCATTTTTCTCTTCTTGTGTCGATGGGTGCTGTGCAGGCAGGAACCTAAGAGTAACAAGGTCACGAAGAAAACATGCTAAAGGTGTTCTTACTCTAACCTTAAGGTGCTTAAATGGGTCTGGGTCTGCTCCTTGTGAAGTTTATGACTTCTATACTAGATAATCACTGTATGAGTAACAAAAAACAGTGCAAGCAGCTCAGTCCCCTATTTTTCTCCTCCCACCAAACTGCCCTAACAGATTGAAGCTAGGTTCCTTAATGGTTTTAAAACCTTAGCTGTAAAAAGGAAGACAAAGAAAGAGAAATAAACCCTCTGGTTTTCACCTACCTCATACAAATTGATTATTTTATTTAACAATACAGAAATATTTTTTAGCAGATAAAAATATCACATTGTAAAATACAGTTAAGCTTCTCAGATTGTGTTAGTGAAAGTAAAGAAAAACTATAGTAAACAAATGTAATTACTGATTTATGAGGAATAAAAGTGAATTGATGACACAAATATGCTATAGAATGCAAAATGCTACAGAAAGTGAAGAAAAAAGCAATACAAAGTAAGCCAATGTGCTTTAGAAACTGAAGAGAAATATTTTGCTGAACTGGAAGCAATAAAGACCTACAGATCATTGTTCAGCACTATCTGTTCACTGTAGTCATGTGTCATAAGAATGTATTTTAAAAATTTGAACAGTTTATCCAGGTTAAGGGTTTGTCTTAAATATAACTGCAATCACTTTCAGCTTCTTTGTCTGGTTGATAGAGTTCCCTTACATGATTATATATACATTGAAATCTAGTGATTAACAAGTTGATTTAGATTTAAAAGCTATAAGGATATTATTTATTTATCTAACATCTCCACCTAGGTGTGAAGAGTTAAAAAAAAAAATAGGATGGTAGAGTGAAATAGAAGATAATTATTTACAAATTTTTCTTATGCAGGTGGTTGTAAAAATATTGCTAGCTAATTTTTGAAAAGTTTCAAAATAATTCTTTCTGCAGTGGTTTATTTCATTCATATCTTGCAAATACTTGTAGTTGAGCAACCAGTCTATCTCAGGACATAAAAAAAGATCTGCCTCAATTATCCAAATTCCTGCCCTTCCTGAAGTGTGGAGGTGCACCAAGAATTAAGTCTACATGAGCTTCAGGACTGTTTTCCTTAGTAGCTCAGCTTTCTCAGGGTTTTCTTCAAAGAACTGCTTAATGGTAGGTAAGGGGCCCTTCCGATTTCTGTTCTGTTCATGTTTACAATGAATTAGGAAATGAAAAGTGGTATTCTGAGTACTGCTGTAATAGGTTTCTATGCTGAACACATATGAAATGGGAGACTGGCATTTAGAGGTAGCTATCTCCTAAAGCAATGCTACCCATCTGGAGGCATTTATTTATTTGTTTATTTATTAATTTCTAAAACCACTTTTGGATGAAGTTTTTATTTATCTATTTCTAAAAACACTTTTGGATGAACACTTTATATTTATTTGCTTTATATTTAACTGTTATGATAATCATCCATATCATGCAGAAATAAATAAAAAAAAACTGCAAAAATTACTTGTTTATGTTATGCAATTATTTTAGCTCCCAAGCCTATGAAAAGTTAAATAGATGTTAGTATTTCAGTAATAAATTCATGAGTTATCCCAGTGTGAACCAAAATGAACATATTCTCTCTGTAAGGTTTGGGGTTTTTTTTTGGTTTTTAGTCATCTGCACCTTCAAGACATCTGTTGTTATCTAGCATAGTTTATTAGCCTCAGCCTGAGCTTTAAATTTCACTTTCTTGTTGTTGTTGTTTCTGTGTAGGTTTCACTTTGGCTATTATCTCCCACCTTTTCTGCACCAGGTGTGCTATGTTTGCAGCTAAACTTCTCACTCACATGATGGTTGCTTGTTTGGGTACTCAGGTAAGAAAAAGTCTGAAGTCTCTAAGTGCAAGTTAAGTACATCTTTACTTTCCTTTTCCTCACTGCCATGGCCATGTCTGAACAGACCTCCTTTTCTTTTCCACGGTGTAAACATTTTCAAAAAATGTAAATTTTCAACATCTGATACTTATAATTAATCCAATATTGATATCCTATGCTGGAAATTCAACTGAAATTATACATTTTCTGAAAATATTTAGAGAAAACTCATGGATGATGTAGCCACATGAGAAGATAGTCCTGTATGTAGAGTAATAAATGTTTTGATGATGGGGAATATAATGGAGACAAGAGAGTTCTGTCATTAACATCATTATTTGTTAAATGGATTAATGTCAGTAATCATAAATTCTGTGGGAAAGTTTTATTTTGAGTAGTTGATGCTGAAAGCTCTTTTGCAATCTAGTATTTGTAGGAAGGTATAATTACAAAAAAAATTAAATAATAAGAGAGAATAAACTGTAGAAAGTCTTCATGGTTCTCATACTGGTTCAAATAGCAGGTAATAGAATGTCAGCAACCTGAAGGAGCATATAAAAAGAGAATCTGTTTCTCTGTCCTGTAAAATACAACTTCCTCAGCTTTGGTACATCTCGTGAAATGGAAAGCTATGAATAACCTCAAGTAACTTAAAATTACTATACGGAACGATTCCATAAGAGGGAGATTTTGTGTATATTTTTACTGATCTAAAGGTGATGTAAATACACATTTAAATATATTCTGAAGGCAGGGCTGCTGAGATAATTTAAGCATATTAGCAGACAGGTACTTAGAGGAAGGTGTTATATCAGTGCAATAAACTGTAGATAATTGAAACAGCCCTGTGTTACTTGTAACAGACAAGCTCGTGCATACTGCCATAGTTAGTATATAATTTTATTCATGTAACCTCATGATAGTTCTTCGTGAACAGTGGAGTGAATTGATAAAGTTCATCACACAACTGGATTTAAAATAGAAGGAGCATGAAAGGTCCCCAAAGCATTTCCAGAAATCACTGAATATCGGCAGGTTTCTTGCATCTGAGTCTCTAAAAGTATTTTGACATCTCAGTTCTTGATTTTGAAACGCATAGTTCATGTTTTTTAATAGTTCTGTGTAGTTACACAGAAAGCAAGTTCGTTCCAGGGACCTGTAATGTACATGGTTACTAGTGTACGAATGTGCAGACTTAATTTCTGACATGTAGATCATAACACAGGTGAGGACTTGCATATGGCAATATGTCAAGATTATACAAAACAAGACTACTGAGAGCTTTGCAGTGCATTTTACAATCTAATGATAGATTTTGCAAAAGCTTCTTCTACTTATACTTTGCAGTGAATGGTGAATTGTGTGCCTGGAATTGTTTGATGTTTTGCATATAATCGAACTGTCCTTATCCACGTTGCAATCTTTCTGTCGACAATACTTTTCCGTTTCTTTGGCCATATGTTGCATTTCCAGTACAGAGAAGCTTGTTTCTTTTTACAGTGAGTTTCTTCTTCAAAGATGTCTTTTGGCTTTTTTTCTATAAAGACTCCTTACCAGGTCTTTCAGACTTGGTAATCTTAATTTACACACAGAATCACACAGAATGATTGAGATAGGAAGGGACCTCTGGAGATCATCTTGTCCAAGGCCCTGCTCAAGCAGGGACACCAAGAACTGGTTGCCCAGGACCATGTCCGGACAGCTTTTGAATATTCCCAAAGATGGAAATAAAAACACTAAATCATGTTCCTAAGTGCCACATCTACACCTCTTTTAAATACCTCCAGGGATGGTGACTCAACATCTCTCTCAAGTCTGTTGACTATGTTTAGACCTATTGAGTAGTTTTGGTTGGAAGCCACCTCTGAAAACCTTTTGGTTTAAACCCCTGCTCAAAGCAAGCCCAACTTCATTCAGTTTGCTCAGGACCCTGTCCAGTTGAATTGTGAGCCTCTTCAGCAATGGAGATCCCACAAGCTCTCTGGGCAACCTCATCCAATGTTGACTACCCATCATAAAAAATGTTTCCCACTGTCTAGTTCAAATTTAATTTTTTGCAACTCGTATAAGATTTCCCCCTCCCACACTCTTAAGACTGACAAGTCGCAGGTCTTCTGTGTATTTCGTGGTCTGAATATCTTGGTGGACCTTAGCTGAATTTGCTGCAGTGTGTCAGTCTCCTTCTTGTGGAGATCTGAGCTGTATCCAGATGTGGTCACACAAGTGTTGCGGTAGAAGGGAAGAATAATTTCCTTTTGCCTTTTGCTAGTGTAAGTCAAACAGCAATACTAGGCTGCTTTGCAACAAGGAGTCCTGCTGACTCATTGTCAACTTGTCATCCACTGGAACTCCAAGTGTTCTTCTGGAGGTCTGCTGCCTTGCTGTTTGGCCCCAGACTAGCCTGTTACATCCCATTACTCTGTCACCAGCTGAATGATTTTGCATTTGCCTTTGTTGAGCTTTGTCAGAAGTCAGCCCCTTTTTCCAGCCTGTTGAGTTTCCTTTAAACAACAGCCTTACAAATCACCTGCACCCAGATTTTTGGGTCCTTCTCAGACTTTGAGTGTGGCCCTGTCATCCATGCCCAGATGCTTTAAATACCATTAGCCACTGTGTCCCGACTCCTGAGTAGTGCTGCTCATAGCAGGCTCCAGCTGGACTTCTTGCTGTTGGTCACAACCCTTTGAGACTCGTGTTGCAAGCAATTTTCCACTCACTTTATAATGCATCTCACCAAAGCATGTCTCAGCATTTTAATTATAATACTGTGAATGCCACACAAACCATGTCAAAGGCCTTGCTAAAGTTACGGAAAACATTTGCCGCATTTGCCTAAGCTGGTCATCTCCTTGTGGAAGGAGATTGGGTTAGTCAGGCATGATTTTCCCTTCACAGAGCTGTGATGGCTGTTCTCAGCTGCCCTCCTGTCCTTGCCCTAGGTAGAGCTTCCAGCAGGATTTATACTATAGCTGCCTTGGGGAATCATAGAATCATTAAGGTTGGAAAAGACCTCAAGGATCATCAAGTCCAACTGTCAACCCAACACCACCTAACCCACTAAACGATGCCCCAAAGCACCACATCTACATGTTTCTTGAACACCTCCAGGGATGGTGACTACATGCGGTCGTCTTTAGCATCCTTGGCTTTGAGCAACCAGGTCTGGTGGGAGGTGTCCTTGCCCATGTCAAGGGGGTTGGAACTAGATGATCTCTGAGGTGTCTTCAAGCCAAACGATTGTATGATTCTAGGATTCTATGATCCTTAGAGTTACTTAGCTGCAGCAGTAGTTAGTGAACTTATTTGTTTCTCAAGATACCGTGAACATGATTTCCCTGATTTACTCATAGAATTTTAATTCCAGGTCTTAACAAACTGCTAAAGTCATGTTCCTCCAGCTGCTTTGCTGTAGAATGAACATCACACTGTCACACACACACATACTTGCCAAAGAATGTATAGCCCAAGCAGGTACAGCTATGAGAAACATTTCACGTGAACAGCATAGTCAATTGAAATTCAGTTTTTATTAAAGTAGTCTAAGTCAACTTATCTCCAAAATATGTATGGAAAAAGCTAAACAAAGGTATTTTTAAAGCTTGACCTAAATGGTAACTGCAATATGTAATTTATTTAAATGTTATAAACATATTACTTTTAAATTTTCATATACTGTTGTGAAAGCATATTGTTGTTAACATGCCTACCAGTTCTTACCTGCTGATAATTCCAGGTTTCAAATAGTAACTCTATCATAATCTCTTAAATTTCTTCTCAAGGTTGGGCAGGAGGATGGGCATGGGCATGGCTGAAGACCAGCTCATGTAGAGACTAATGGCCCACGACTGAGTTTCACAGAATCACAGATTCACAGAATATTAGAGGTTGGAAGGGATCTCAAAGATCATCTAGTCCAATCCCCCTGCTGGAGCAGGAGCACCTAGATCAGCTCACACAGGAAGCTGTTTAAATAGAGGTGCTGGGCCTTGGAGCAGAGGGTGTAGATGGACACTCCAGTTGGGGCTGGTCAGGAACATTAAGGACCATTAGTGCACTCAGTGCCCTGAGACAGAGGCAGCTTCTCTCATTTTCATGGTGATCTCTAGTATGCATTATCACCTAACATGAAGGGAGGGTTTAAATGTCTTTGTTTTTCAATCTTTCTTCTCATATGTAGAATAATTTTTGAGAATTAGTGAAACTATATATAAAGAAAAACAACAACAGGCAAGGGTGGAGAAAAGTGTGAAACATTAATGCGGGAAAAGATTACAGAAGGCAACAGATTTAGTTTAATTACAGAGATACTATTTAGAAGTTATAAGTCATCCTCAGCCCCTAAAATCCATGGCTCTCCCGAACTCTTTTCCTTTTGCTATGCAATTACTCTGCAAGCTTAGAACAAAACTTTTGAAAGAGGATTTTAGCAGTGTAACTGCTTAGCCAGTTAGCTAGCTTAGAGAGGAAGTTAAGACAGCTTGGCAGCAGCTGTTGGAAGAAAAGAAAGTGGCTTTAAGGCAGAGTGAGAAGAGAAGGGATATGTTTGAAAAGAGTGAACTGAACTACTGTGCTAGCTGTTCTGAACAGCTGAAGGAAAATCCTCATACAGTTTCTTGTGTTGTGATATGTTGGCATATGTTCTGCCTAGAGAGAGCTAGCCTGACTAGGAAGCCTTGGTTTAACAGAAAACTTGAAATAGAGGATGTTTATACAGCTATACCCACCTACAAATATTTGGACAGTGTACATGTGATTAGATATTTACAATAAAATGAAAAGTTTTGTGGTTTTGCTAACCATTGACTCTGTATGAGAGGAGTTATTTAAGGGAGTTTTAACTAAGAACTTATTATGTGAAAATCAGCACTTAATAAATCCTAGTTTAAATACAAGAGAAATGTTTGTACTTTGCATTTTTATCTAGTAATATTTAGGCAGTAGTAGGCACTGGATTTGTACCTATTAGTTCTCAAACCACTCTAGAGAATGAAGGAAGCTGG